AGAGATAACAACATCCAGGGCTTATTTGTCCCCAGAGAAGACACTTGACCAAAACAAGCAGAAAGCACAACAGGGCCTCACTAGAGCAGCCAGAAGAAAGGACTAATGTCCACAGAGATGGATGAAATACCCAGGGCTAACAGATGGCATTAAAATGTGCATTTTGAAATGTTTCAGCCAGCTGTAGAAATTGGGAATGGCTTCACTACAGGGCTAACGCCCAGTGGCACAGGATGAAATAGGGCCCTTCTTAACATGCTGCACCCATGGTTCCCAGCTCCAATTAACACAACCGGTTCCCCCTCCCACTCCATACAGGCACTGACTTCTACAGCAACGAAGTGAGCCTTCACCGCCCTTTGAACATCTCACGGCGTTTGTTTGATAGAGCTATAGTTACAGGATAAACACTTACTAGAAACAAGGATGACTAAATTCCCCTATAGATTTTTCTTTAAATCACTTTTACGTCCCCAGATTTCCTTAGGCAGCTGGCTAGCGTTCCCAGACTGACAGATGGGAGTCATTTCGCTTCATGGCACTCAAATGCTATTTATGGCACAGCATAGGATCCCTCAGAGAAGAGCGGCGTGGATCCAAATGCACTCATGAGTTATAAGTCATTTGAAATCAGTGGGGTAGCTCAAGCTGTTCAGGTGTGGGGTGGCGGGACTGCTCTCCCACGGCTTTCTGGCCGATGCGTATGGACATCAGCCATGAAGCCTTCCCACACACCAAAGGAAGAAAGACCCTGGAGTAATTAGCTAATCTCTCTTTGTCGCAATCTCATTCAAAGCACATAATAGCTCTCATAAAAATAGTCTTTCCCATGGCAGAAACTGTGGACTTTAGCAAAAAGAAAATTACTTCAGCCTGTATATCACACCATGGGGAAAAGTATCAGTGATCTTGTATCAGCATTAAATACATCCACCATTTGGAGGCCACGAGTAGGAGACGGTTTCAGGCGTGCACATAAATAGTTGGCCTAACGAAAGACTGAGGCAGAAGTTTTAGGCTAAAGGTGTTATACTCTTAGGTCAAATAGGCTCAAAATTGAAATCATGTTACAACCTGTATTGTGGAAACGTTTATGTATTAACCAAGAATTAGAGAAAGGGAAGTAATTTAGAGTACTTCTTTTAAAATTCTGGTTCCCTAAGGAAGTAAGATGTCTCAATTACATACTCCACGTGCACATGGGAATGTTCCCACCCCCACCAAGGACCTTTGAACCTGTCAGCCAAGCCCGAATCAGTTCGACAGCGATGGAGGCCTCAAGGATGTTTCAGTTCCTACAAGCGTTGAGAAAACAGACAGCCAGATGGAAGAGAGAGACTGAAATCACAGTAGTGCCTTGACTCCAAGAAGAACTGCAACACGCGCTCAGGCACAGAATCCACATAGGAGATTTTGGCCTCCTTTTGGCCACCAGGTAGATTTTCTGCTGTGTAATAAGATCCAAGACCATAAAATGAAGCTTTCAACTGTAGTAGCTCTCATGTGGATAAAGTCCACTGACTATAAGTTTATAGCAGGTTAAATAGAGATATCGGTGCAGAAGGTGGTGTCTGAAGATTAGATTAGAAAAATCCCCTCTGGAGAACAGGTGTATAACCTGAGAATCTACAGACAAGTATTACAAGAGCAGTAACATTATAAATGGTATTTGGATAATCCGCATTCTCCAGCCCTTTGTGTCACACCATACTGCTCTTTCTGCTCAAGCTGTAGAAGGAATTTGCAAAGAACAAGTGCTTTCATGATCCCAAGATCAAAAGATAACATGTTCTCTCAAACGTATTTACCTAGGGATTTGCCAAAAATGACCAATCTGGGCTCTGTGCTGTGCAGCAGTTTTGTTAAAGCCTCAGCTCCTGGAATCATGTGTTTATGTGAGAATCTCTGACTTAATACTGCAAAAAAAAATAATTCCCAAAAATCTATCCACCCGCAGGCAAGTGAAAAACATTAGTACAAAACCACTGCTATTCTGCATACATGTGTGGGAGCAGCGCCTTGTTTATGCAGTTGAGATGCCCGGGGTTTGCAGTATCTCTGAGGCTGTGGCATTCCCAGGACCAACACAAGGAAAAGGGGACAAGCAGCACTAAACAGCATCCCTGGCTGGGGCACGAACTGCAAGAGCAGTAAGCATTGGTCTGTTTGCAAAGGAAGAACTAGAAGTCAGACACAAGGACATGCTCTTATCCAGTCGGAGCATGACGCGCTCTTTCTTTGTCAGTAGTACAGAGGAGTGTGACTAATATTAGATCTTTTCAGAGACATCTTTGGTTGGCATCTGCAGGCAGATCTAGAAGTGCTTGCCTCACCCTTCCTGCAAGCCATGGTGCTTCCTCAGTCCCTTGATGCTGGCCCTGTCTGCAGCAAGCTGCAGTCAGCAGTGAGCAGAGGGGTACCAGCAGCAGTTATTTCGGTCTGAAGCTGGGGTACGGAAGCTCCTAAGCCTCCAGGTAGGATATACAAGAGCAATATTTTACCACTATAAACTGATAATGTGATAGTTAAATCACTTTGTCTGCACAGACACCAGCCTCGCTCCCCTCTTTCCTTTGCAGAGAGAAGTATGTCTCCAGAGGGGCTGGCAGAGTGGCTAACCCAAGGCAAAATGGATTAGCAACTGCACAAACTTCTCTGCCAGGGCGCTGCTTCTGAACTCTGCGAGGTCCCATCTTGCTTCACTTTCAAAATGAAGCCATTCCTCCAAAAGCCCCCTCTCTACCTGAAAACACCTCCTCTATATGAACAAGCTCCAAGTGGCTTTGGAACACCATCCCATGTGCCCCCAAGTCCTTCAGGCACCAGTGCAAATCCCCTCACCCCAGAGAAAAAGCTATTTCCCAGTCCCAAGGATAAACAAGGTTTGTGGGACCACAGCTTCAGCTAAAATATGCAGGTCTCTTGCCAGATGGGTTTTCTGGGTGCTAGCTGTTAGTGGCAGCAGCCCTCTCTGAGGGTAGACAGGGACACTGCTGTGTGCTGCAGGTGCTGCACCACAGCCCTTCCAGCTGGGTGCCAAAGGGCTTCCCCTGCCATGCCAGCCAGGAGCCACCAGCCACAGTGCCAGGCTGTGGAGACAAGGAAAATGTCCCTGCGCCGGGCAGGATGCAGATCAGCATTTCCTATCACACTGTCTGCAGGCTGCGTCATGGGGAATTATCTGGGAAAACAATAGCCCCTTCCTCCCTTTCATTCCACTCACACCAAGCCATGCTTGGTGATGCTGAAGTCCAGCCTGTGAAGTCCCCACAGCTGCGTCAGCCATCCCCTCCAAGCCTGGGGCCAGCCGGTGGCTGGCAGTGTGCGTGGCTGCTTCGTCCTTGCCATGCACCAGAGATGGACACGGCTGCCAACATGAGACCTGCTCATCCTGGGAATCGGGGCACGGGACTCCAGGGAAATTCCCAGCTGTCAGCAAGACAGACAGACAGATGGACAGCCAAGGATGAGCCACCTCCGTCAGCTGAGCTGGGGCACACCCCAGGCAGCAGTGGTACAGAGCCACCCAGATGCTTCTGCACATGCTCTCCGGCAGGTCAGGGATGGTCTGGGGTGAGGGTGGGCTCTTGAGTTCCATCTGCCGTACAGTGACGGTGACGTGGCCAAGGCCATCCCAGCTGTACTGGCCTCACCACCACCAGAAACAGGAAAAACCTGGAGGCTTTTTGTACTTGCTAAATAAACTAAAATGGGGCGTGAGGGGTCAGGCACTCCTCTCTCCGAAGCAGGGTTGTCCTCTCCCCATAGCACATCCTGAAGGCAGCTGGCAGGGCTGGGGCCTCCAAGGTGCCGGCTGCTGCACCGCAGCCCCCCGCTCCCCTGCCCCTTCCCAGCCACCTCCCTGCAGCCCCCCGGGAAAGGGAGCTCGAGTATGGAGCAGGGTGCTGCCCGAGGTCACCCAAACCTTGTTTCAGGTGCAGAGTCGTGATTTAGAGACAGGCCAGTGTCAGTTGTTTCCTGCAGCTCTCGGAGACAGGGGATTTACTCTGACCTTATGTTACAAATTACAAAAAATGAGCACCCAGGCCCTGCAGCTGCCAGGAGAAGCCAAAGCCCCCAT